CTGCTCCCCTCCTGAGCAGCCGCCTCTCTCCCTCACAGGACAAGAGCGATGCCCTGAGCGCAGCAGAGCTGCAGGAGGAGCTGGCTCTGCACACGCTCAGCGAGCAGCGGGAGCTCTTCCTCCTGCCCACCAGCGCGACCTGGGCCAGCCTGAGCACTGCCACCAGCGTCCTCCGCGTGAAGAACCTGCTGGTCACCCTGCTCTCCCAGCCCTGAGCCTGCGCAGGGGGTGGACAGGCTTCCACCCCCGGTGCAGCTCCTCTTTGGGGTCCACAGCGCAAGGATGGAGGTGGTGGGGCAGGAGCCCTGGAGCTCAGACTCACTGGTAGCAGGCTGCTAGTCCTGGGGTGTTCACTGCACCCCACAGGGTTTGGGGTTGAGCTGCAGCACGGCTGCCCTCAGGGAACACAAGCAGCAGGCTCTGCTCTCTGCTTCGGGGAGAGGGCAGCCGCCTCCCCCAGTTCAGGGACAAAATCTCCCTTGGGATGGAGGCGCAAGCACGGCTTTTAACCCCCTGGTGAGTGGGAACGTGCAGCACAGGACAGGGCCCCACGCCTTCATGGCAGCCCTGCAAGGTCTTGAATGAGTAGGGCTGACCAAGCAAGGTAACCCTCTCGCCCACCGGCCCAGCCAGGTCATCCCAGGAGATGGGCTCTCCTTCCTGACACGGCAGGTTACTGCTGGCACAGCCCTGCCCCACAGCGCCGCCAGTACGGCACACACCAGTGGGAACAACCAGCTCAGGCAGTCCCTCACCAGGTCTGAGCACAGCTCTTACTTCCCCCAGCGCTGTATTTACCGTCCCGTTTGGGAAAGATGAAGGCAGGTTATCGGCCAGCCCTGCGCTGACGCCTCATCCTGAACAGGGGTAAAGACGGGCTGTCTGGTAGGAGCTGCGCTCAGCAGGCGTTTGCCCCCCTGCCTGTTCTCCCTCTCAGCTGCCCCAGGGAGAAGGGGAAGGAGCCAGGCTCAGGGACTGCAGGAAGCGCTGCCTGCAGGCAGAAGGGCTGCTGTGTCAGGCCACAGGGCGCTGGAAAACCCACCGTGGAAGGTGAGGAGCTCATCGGGGAAAGGGAGTACGCACCGGCCAGTCTCTGCTGCAAAACTTTTTGTACAGTCGCTCCTACAGTTTGTCAATAAAAGAAACTGATCTCTCTGCGCTGCCCTCCAGCTCCTTGGCAGGGAAGGGGCCCCCAGCCCGGCAGGAAGGTGGCTGCAGGGGAAGGAAGCAGCACATGGCCCCGCTCCAACCTCTGCTGCCTACAGGGAAAGCAGCAAAGGCCCAAGTGCTGCCCGCACCCCATGGGCCCCCAGCCTTCCTGCTGGAGAGAGTGACGTGCACCCAATGCCCATGTCCCACGGGTCAGCACCAGGAGCTCTCTGAAGTGGGACTGCACCAAGAGAGAGCCCATGAGTGAGACATTCACACCAGCTTTAAAAAGTAATTTATTTTGACAAGGCAAAAGAAGTGCTGGCTGCCACGAAAAAAGGGAGCAGGACAGCACATTCAGTCCCAACGCCACAAGCCACAGCCAAGAGTCTTTCATGCCCGGTTATAACTCTCTCTGTCTAATGAAGGTCCTTCCTCCATCGCCAGAGGCTTTGCATAGCTCCACTTGCAGGGAATAAGCCTATGAGTGACTCACCTGTCTGTCAGTCCCTGCTCAGTCCAGAAAATAGTCATGTCAAGCCTGCACTGGCAGGCAAACCTGAGGGAAAAAAGGGCAGTCACTGCACGTCCATCTTTTCCTGCTTGAGTGATGCAATAAAATCCTTGTACTCCTCGGGATAGAAATTCTTGTACACGTTGATTTTTCTCTTAATCTGCTTGGGAGTATCCTGGTAGTAGTTCTTCTCATCTCGAGCCATTTCCTGTGACAGAGGAGGGAGTAAGTCAGAGGAGTGGCCCCAAAAGCAAACACCAAACCAGCCCAGCCATGCTGCAAAGGCCCACCCAGGCCAGCTGTGATCAGACTGACTCAGACAGGGATCTGGCCAAGGTTCAAAGTGCTGCTTCCCCTTAATAATCAGCTGACTGTGAAACAGGATCCAGGACTGGGAGGATCCCATCCTGCAGAGGATCCAGGAGTGAATCGCTCCAGTTGCTCCTTGCTCTGGGACAGCCAGTACTTACCTTGTAGTTCTCCCCATGGTTCTGTATCATGTACCGCACGTAGTCAATGAGGTCTCGTGAGAGCGTGTTTGACTTCTTCTCGGGGAGACTGGCCTCGTATTCCATCTCTAGGCAGAGGACAGGGCCAACGTGAGGCAGGCAGGCAGGGGAGGGAAGCAACCAGCACCTCAGAGGTCCCCAGCCCCTTCCCACGATCGAGCCCGGCCAGTACTGCAGGAAGGAGATGGCTCCTGCAGCACAGCTCAGCTGCTCGCACACGCAGGGCTGCTTCCCAGCACCATCGTGCAGGGCAACAAACAAGGTAACAGCCTCCACAGAGGCCACAGGCACCCAGGCCTGTGCTGCGGCTCCTCTCCAGCTCACACCATGAGGAGTGGAGCCTTTCTGCCCAGGCTGCAGAGCGTGGCTGTTCAGAGCTGCCCAGCTGCCCACGAAAACACGGGGGGTACCGCAGCCACAGTTTCTTGTCACCCTGGTGCCACACACCAGCACAAGAGCCCTCTTGGGGCTGCAGGCAGAAATACTATGAAAAAAGCAGCACAGGAGGGAAAAGGAAAATCAGGAGATACAGGAATGGCAGAGCCGCTGTCTTGGCTCAGCTCTGGCCTGGCTGGGAACCCCCAGCTGACTGCTGCCAGGGGGTTACCAGCCCACAAGCCTGGACAAGAAGTAACATCCTTCCCTGTCCCTGGCATGGCACAGAGGTGAGAGAGAAAATAAGCCACAGGGCCTTGGGAGACCCCCAAATGCCACGGCAGCTGAACGCAGGACACCTGCCAAGGCTGGAGGTGGTGAAGGGCTCCCTGGGGAGGACAGAAGCGGCACTGACCGTTCACCACGTAGGGCTTCCGCACCATTTTCTTTCCTTGCTCTTGTCCATCACTTTCCACTTCCATCCCCTGTGTGACATGAGAGAGAAGGCAATTCAATAAAAGCCCGTTTAGAGGAGAGCTGAGTCCCCATACATTGCTCCCAAAATGCCAAACTGCTTATACAATGGCTGCAAGGACCAAGAAATCTCAGCTGGCTTAAACAGAGCCCAATTTGTGCCACTAAGCTAGCCCATGGGCAGGCCTGTGGACTGAACAACACTGTGTGAACGGAGACAAGTGGCAAACGAGGTCACTCCCGATTTTTTCATGAGTGCACCATTTCGTGGGGCCACCTTTTGCCTGGAAACATTGCCCACTGACGCAGGCAGGCCAGGCTGGTGCTGCTGTACACAAAAGAGGCTTTCTCTGTTATCAGGAGCAACTCAGCTGCAGCGTTCCCAACCCCACCTCTCTGGCAAGTCCCAGGAGATTGACTGACATTACTTCTACGTGTTCCAAAGCCCGTTATTTCTCTGTGACAGGGTAGCTCGTTCCCACGCCAGGATCTTGGCAAGAAAAGTGGGTTAATAAAGATAAGAAACCCACGCACCTACAGAGACTGATCCAAAGCCACCTGACCCGCGCTCCAAAGCGGGCTGCTCTCCATGCTGCCTTCCCCCAGCCC